TGCGCACAGGCAACACACCCCAGAGGCTCCCTCCACACCTTAAAAACAAACCCCAAACCACTGTCCCTTGACTTAACACCCCCTTGCAGCTCACCCTCGAGCAAAATGCCTCATACCTGCTGTTCCCACTCCTCCTCCTCTCTGCTCTTAAGGCTCCCCTAGTTAAGTTTTTGTCCCTAACGGTCCACCGAAATTAAGAGGACCAGTGGCCCAGCTGCCCGCTGGGCTGTAAAATCCATTCTATTCCTGGTGTTCATCTTACTCACCCTGTCAGCCCGACTTAACGCCTCTGGCCCCTCCCTTCCTTCCAGAAACACTTTTTCACTTGGCCTCCAGTAAAGACTGTGCTCTCGACACACAGTTGATGCGGGGGGCCGACACTACCGGCAGCGTCTTCCCTGACTCCTTCGCTGGCTCCTCCTCACCTGCCAGGCTTCCAGGTGCTGGGCCCACCCCAGGCCTCAGTGCTCCAGCCTCTCGTGCTCTCAGTGACCATACTGGGCTCCACGGCTCTAACCCACCCATGTGCCAATGACTTCCAAGCAGACACCTCCAGCCTGCATCTCTCTCTCGAGCTCCTAACCTAAGGTCCCGCTGCCCGCCTGACACTCCCCACCCAGACATCTGAAACCCACACCCCTGACTTCCCCGTCACCACATCTTCATCTTACAAACAGCAACTCCTCTCTCCCGGGTATTCAGGTTTTAAAAAATGAAGTCATGCTGGATTCCTTTTTTCCTCTCACACCACTCACTTCCACACCAACCAATCCCTCCCAGAGCTACGCGCTACTCTGTTCAGACTCCTAACAGTCACGACTAGAACAGCCCAGGGAAGTCTAGGAGGTGGCAGCGACAAACACTCACAAACAGAGGGACGACACAGAAAACCCAAATCCCACGACAACATCTGCGACAAAACCTGGTGGAAACTCCAAACGGCCAGGAGGTGGGGACAAGCCACCAACAGTCACGAGACCCACGAGTTACAGGCGTTCGAGCACGTGGGAGAAGAAAGGAAACCAGTGGGGTGCTCTCCTGGCGGGCCAGGTGGCACGGTGGGCAGGTGCGAGCGCACGGTGGGGCCCGGGGCTGCAGCCCCGCCGAGGAGTGGAGGCCCAGAGCACCCCGGCTGGCGAGAGGCTGCCGGGAGCAGGGCAAGGGGCTTCAGCTCACAGATTGAAAATACTAATTTTTGTAATAAAAATTCAAAACTTAGGAGCAGGACTTGATGGGACTATAACAAATATTTGCTTACTGAATCAATGAACCACTTCTATCTGTGATTTCAGGTGCCCCTGAGGTCTTTCTGAAACAACACAGTAAAAGCTTTCATTCTTCCATTACGACCTACAGAAAACTGTATTTACGTGACTCAGTGTACACATACACGTGCACATATGATGGAAACAGTCCTCTGAAATGGTGTTTGTCTGCCCTGGCTACTATGAAGCGCTTTGATCTTTCTAGTTGAGTCTTTTTTCGGCAGGGGGGTAAGGACATAAGGGGAGACCGGTCCTAACCCACAGTTTGAAAAACACTGCCAACAGCATACTAGTTAACACGTGAGGGTCTGGTTTCAAATCCTGATGCTGTCAGGTCTGAGCCGTGACCCTGGGCACACTACTTACCTTCTCTGTGCTTCCTCGCGTACAGAGTAACAACTGTGTTTATGCCACAAGGTTCTTTAGAAGAATAAACGAGGTTACCCTTGGAAAGTGCTTAGAATGCTGTCCAGGACACAGTGAGTGCTCAGTAAACGCGCACTACTGGTGGTCTTGCTGCTGTTAATTCAACTCAGAATCTACTAATCTGGGCCCAACAAGTAAGAGAGAAACTTTTTGAGTGAGCTACAATCAGACGTACTAAAGTACCCTGAAAACAGACGACCAAGGGACTTGCTGAATTTCACGTTCATGAAAAACTCTCTGAATCAATTACCAAAACCAGGCATTGTGGGGCGTCACTTCAAGCACTGCTTACCTATGATGTCGTTTCTCATTGCTTCTGTAATGGGTATTGGCTTAGCAGCATCTGGAGAGATATATTTGGTAAAAGTATTCACTGCATCTTGTTCTATACCTGCAAGGCAAGAAGAGGACAACTTCAAAAACCACACAGCACCTTGGGTGGCACCGGACCACATTCACGCAGAGCGGGGCTCTGCTGTGTACCCAGGCCCATGCGCACGCACACAGAGATGTACACACTTTTTATTACAAATACTACTTGTTAACATACTTTGGACAAAACACGCTCTATCGTAGTGCTGCTTTCACACTACCCGGTCTGCAGAGCAGAGGCGCGTGACATGTGAACCGCCCCCCACGCCCCATCTGAGCCAACACGCTCCTTAACAGGACTCACTTGTGTGCAGCCTCATCCCACAGCACTTCTCCAGCCATTACCTGAAGGGCTCACACAGCAGGGGCTCAAAAATTATTTATAAGTCTACATTTAAAATACTTTTACCAAATTGCACATTCATGAATACATTCATTTGACTTTCAACACTCCTGGAAGGTTACAACAATGATTTCAAACTTTTCAGTCTTGGGACTTTGCAATCTTCAAAATTACTGAGGCCCATAAGAGCTTTTGTTTATGTGAATTTTATCTATAAAGGTATTAAAAGTTAAAATGAGAAAAATTATTCAGTTAAATTAACAACATTAAATCTGTTAGAAGTTAACAATAAACACCAATTTCTATAGAAAATAACTGACAAAGTTAGTGAGAAGAGGGCACTGTTTCACATTCTGCAACTCTACTTGTCTTGATAGCAAATACATTCTCATATCTGCTTTGCCCTTCAACCTATTGTGCTACTTAGTTTTGGCTGAAATACATGGGGCTCTGGTGGTGTGAGAAGAAATGCATGCACATGCACAGGCACGTGCACACACATACGCACGTGCACACACAGTCTTTGTCGTGGTTCCTGGCACAGAGCTCCTAAAACCCACGGAGTCTCCAGTGGCAGGGCCAGAGGAGCATCCTTTGTTACCCTTTCCGCCCTTGGAGAGGTTTATGGTGATGAGGTGACCAGTGGAGTGGGGCCTGGTTGTGAGAAGGCCCCACGCCCAACCTCCGGGGAGATTGGAGGGGCTGGGGGCCATCAGCTGATCACCAATGGCAGTGATTCCATCAGTTGTGCCGCGTGACGAAGCCGTACCCCTCCCCGCCCCACTTCTGGGCGGGTGACCGTATCCACGTGCCAAGAGGGTGAGGCACCCCAACCCTGTACAGACAGACGCTCCTGCACTTGGGACCCTTCTGGACCTTGCCTTGCGGACCTACCACCTGGCTGTTCCTTTCTATCCTTTATAATACCCTTTACAATAAACCAATAAATGCAAACAAAGTGTTCTCCTGAGTTCTTTGAGCCATTATAGCAAATTGCTGAAACGAGGAAGGGGTAGTGGGAACCCCTGGTTTACAGCTGGTTGGCCAGGACCAAGGTGACAACTTGGGACCTGTGACAAGCATCTGAAGTGGGTAGCCGTCATGTGGGACTGAGCCCTTAACCTGGGGGTCTGCAGTAACTCTGGGTAGTGTCAGGATGAAATGCACTGTAGGATACCCCACCACTATCCACAGAGAACTGGAGAATTGCTTGGTGTGGGAAACCCACACATGTGGTGTCAGGAGTGCTGCGAACACAGAGGTGGTTTTGTTTTATTGATATTAAAAAAATCTGGCCTCAGAGATGTGTAATTGGGAAAAGGAGTATTTTTTTAACAGCTTTCTGAGATAACTGTGGATATATTCTTCTTTGATATATCAAAACTTGAAAAGTGGTAGTTTC